GGCCCACGACCTAATGGAATTAGGGGGCAATCCTTTTAGCCAAGTCGCGCCGGACCATTCAACATCATGGTGAAGTATTTAGCACACGCGACATCACTGACGTACAACATCTCCATGGACATCTCATAGCTTTCAATACAGGCCTCTAGGGGTTGACCCACCGTGTAATTAGGAACCTTGCGGGGGCCCTTAAAATCCTTGGGCAAGCGCTCGTTACGTAGAGCCTGCACTAAACATGGCACACCAAGGGTTCTACAGGTCACTCCTGCCTCCACAGACACCGTTGGGTAAGCTGGAGATTGTTGATGAGCCGCCAACTAAGCTGCCAGCTCAGCCTCCCGACGTGCCCTACCCTGATCCACCAAAGCCTCATCATCGTTACCAGCATGTGGTAGGTCAGGCCTACGGGGCTGGTTATGGTGTCGCTCACTGCTTGAAACCGCTGGCGAGTCAATATGCCTGCTATAACTCTGGCTCAGATGAGGGGTTGAATGAATCCGATCACGACTGTACGAGTAAGCCGTCTGTTGAGCCACTGTTGTCTGAAGAAGCTCTCCGGCCCTCCGTATCTCCATCGCGGCTGGAGACTCACTTTCCACGGGGAAAGCCGCCAATCGCGTAGCTGCGTGATGTCCACTACACAACCTTCTTCTTGTAGACGTTGTTGGGCCTCCAAGTGCATAGGTTTGTAGGACAGTAGCAAATTTCCCTCAAGTGGATGACCTAAGGTTTATCAATCCGTGGGAGGCGAGGATGAAGATGGTCTCTCTCAAGCAGCCCTGCAACCAAATAACAAAGAGTCTCTTGTGTCCCCAACACACCCAATACAATGGTAAATTGTATAGGTGCACTAGTTCGGCGAAGAGATAGTGATACAAGTGCAATATGGATGGTAGATATAGGTTTTTGTAATCTGAAAATATAAAAACAGCAAGGTAACTAATGATAAAAGTGAACATAAATGGTATTGCAATGCTTTGAAACAAGGCCTAGGGTTCATACTTTCACTAGTGCAAGTTCTCTCAGCAATAATAACATAACTGGATCATACAACTATCCCTCAACATGCAACAAAGAGTCACTCCAAAGTCACTAATAGCGGAGAACAAACGAAGAGATTATTGTAGGGTACGAAACCACCTCAAAGTTATTCTTTATGATCGATCTATTCAAGAGTCCGTATTAAAATAACACGAAGCTATTACTTCGGTTCGATCTATCCTAGAGTTCATACTAGAATAACACCTTAAGACACAAATCAACCAAAACCCTAATGTCACCTAAATACTCCAATGTCACCTCAAGTATCCGTGGGTATGATTATACAATATGCATCACACAATCTCAGATTCATCTATTCAACCAACACAAAGAACTTCAAAGAGTGCCCCAAAGTTTCTACTGGAGAGTCAAGACGAAAACATGTGCCAACCCCTATGCATAAGTTCACAAGGTCACTGAACCCGCAAGTTGATCACCAAAACATACATCAAGTAGATCACGTGAATATCCGATTGTCACCACAGATAAGCACATGCAAGACATACATCAAGTGTTCTCAAATCCTTAAAGACTCAATCCGATAAGATAACTTCGAAGGAAAAACTCAATCCATTACAAGAGAGTAGAGGGGGAGAAACATCATAAGATCCAACTATAATAGCAAAGCTCGCGATACATCAAGATCGTGCCATATCAAGAACACGCGTGCAAGAGAGAGAGATCAAACACATAGCTACTGGTACATACCCTCAGCCCCGAGGGTGAACTACTCCCTCCTCGTCATGGAGAGCGTCGGGATGATGAAGATGGCCAATGGTGATGGATCCCCCCTCCGGCAGGGTGCCGGAACTGGGCCCCGATTGGTTTTTGGTGGCTACAGAGGCTTGCGGCGACGTAACTCCCGATCTAGGTTTCTTTCTGGGGTTTCTATATTTATAGGAATCTTTGGCGTCGGTCTCACGTCAGGGGGGGTCTCCGAGTCGTCCACAAGATAGGGGGGCGCGCCCAGGGGGGTAGGGCGCGCCCTCCACCCTCGTGGATGGCTCAGGACTCTTTTGGCCCAACTCTTTTACTCCGGGGGCTTCTTTTGGTCCATAAAAAATCATCAAAAATTGGCACATCAATTGGACTCCGTTTGGTATTCCTTTTCTGTAAAACTCAAAAACAAGGAAAAAACAGAAATTGGCAATGGGCTCTAGGTTAATAGGTTAGTCCCAAAATCATATAAAACAACATATAAATGCATATAAAACATCCAAGATAGATAATATAATAGCATGGAACTATAAAAAATTATAGATACGTTGAAGACGTATCACTGCGGCAATCATATTGTCCAGAGGGTTCGAATAATGACCCGGCGGTGTCGGTACATGCTGAGGCGGGGTTAAATTCAGACGAGGCGGGTCTGCAACACGTGGTTGAACCGTCGCTCCGGTCCCAGGCGCCTCAACAGCCAGGTTTACCTCAGGTGGATTGCTTGGACCTGCCCCAGGCGTGTTGAAAAGGTTCCTAGCCTCAAACTCTGAGGGTAGACGGGTCTGATGCCTCCTCCTAATAACAACGTTCAAAGCATTCTGATCCAAGGTGAACCAGAATGACTCTGCCTTGATCTGCTGTGATTGCGCGTCCAAGGCGGCTCGCTCTGTCGCCATCCTCGCGTTCTCAGCAGCAAGTTCTTCCTTGGCCTGAGCTATCTCATCTCGCAGCTTCGCGACATCCACCTTGTGCAGCGCTTGAGTCTCTGGGGTTACCTCTGCCCCCATTAAAGTTGCCAAAGCGTCCAAAAGCTCGGTCAGAACCTGAGCCTGCGGGCGTGCCGAGCCGCTCGCCGCGGCCGTTGAACTGGAAGTCATAGCAGCAGCAGTTGTTGAGTTGAGCACTGGTTGTGTGCCGGCCATGAAGATCGCAACTCTGTTTGGTGGCTCATAGGGGTCCAGAATACTATCGCCATCGGAACAGCCCCCAAGCCCACCATCTTGCAATAGATATATGGAATCGGTCTCGCCGGTTGAGGACTCGTCACCAGAGTAGATGGCCGTCTCTCCCGCAGACACAGATCCTTCTTCAAGATCCACTCCTTGAGTAAAACCCACAAAAGCATGCTCCACGGCGGGTTGAACCTTGGCGGGTCGTGCGCGTTGAGCCGTCTCGAGGATGTCGGTGAAGGTGTCCGGCTCAGGCTCCGACTCACCGATCTTGCCGATGAAGATGTGGATTCCGCCGAAGGGGACCCGGTACCCGCACTCAATTGAGCCGGCCTTGGGGCCCCAGCCAGCATCGTTGATGTAGATCTTGCTGCGGTGACTCTTGGTCATTCAGCCTACGGCATATCCCTTGATCCCTGCGAGCTGCCCTTCAAGAACTCGAAACCGCCGTGCGCTGGCCCCACGGTGGGCGCCAACTGTCGTGGACTTAACACGACAGATGCCCTGGCAAAATGACTTAGGTGTGGAGCCATCGCAACTACGTTAGTTTGAAGGGGTTAAATGGGACAAAGGACACAGAGAGTTTACCCAGGTTCGGCCCCTCTCAACGAGGTAAAGCCTACTCCTGCTTTAGGTTGTATTGCTTGGGTTTCGATTACCAGAGAGCGAATACGCTTGACCTAGTTCTCGACTTGTTGTTTCTTGAGTTAACCGCCGCCGGGTCACCCCCTTTGTATACAGGTTGATGCCCGGCGGCTTACAGAGTCCCGGCCGGCTCATATAAACGTGTCTGTCTCGCTATCTAACTAAGCTTGCCTTACAATACAAGTTAAACATATGGCTGCTCATGCCCATGGGCCTCAGGTCGTCCCCGGGTCTTGGGCCTTCAGTAAGCTTGCTCTATGAACCGCCATCTTCATATATTCTTGGGCCTCTTCATCTTAAGCCACCAGTGGCATGACCCGGCCCCTCCTGGGCGGGTCATACCCAGTAGTTATATCCCCAACAGTGTCCTTATGAGTTTGAATGACAAGCTCAAGAAGAAAGACAGAATTGAGGAGGGAAAGGGGAGGGGAGGGGAGAAGACGGGGCTAGGTGGGGATGCGCTTTCACCATTGCACGGGCTTTGCGTGACCGTGGTCTCCGATGGCAGCGAGGATGGTGAGGAGGTGTAGTTGCCACCCAAATCACTCCTATTGGGAGAGCCACTTTGTGGATCTTGGCAAATGTCCTACTCTCTCTGATCCATATGATTTATCGATGTTTTAATACAACTTTAGGAAGTAACATTTTTTTCTATCCTATGTTTATCAATTTTTTTCTATCCTATGTTTGTCAATGGCCACCTATAATCTAACCTAGCAAGGTGCAAAGCACATTCTGCAATTGAATTTACGAATAGAGATTGGTGAGGAACTCAAAGTACTTCAGCAAAGGAAAGATAGGAGGTACGCTTGCATGCGCATATCACTATCCATTGGACTCAATTACATATGCAAGCTTAACCCACAAACAAACAAGTCCAAATTTTGCATATACTGCCGACCAGTGGATGAAATTAAGTCCAGCCCGTGCATGTCTGTCTCATGCATGTCTTCCAAGCAAAGCAAGAAATTCCTGTTACAAGAAAGAGGAAAAATAAAAAGCAAAGCAAGGAAAAACTAAACCTTCACCACCCCGCCGTTCCGGCCCGTCCGTCCCTTGAGCTTCGCATGCCAAACATGTCCAGCGGGCAACGCAAAAACGCTGTCCATCCATCCATCAATCCATCCATATCAGCAGCATAACATCCAGGAGTGCAAGCAAACCAATGCCGCGAAAGAAATCCTTCCAAGCAACCGCTTCCATTACTCCGTCCACCCGTCGTCCAACATCCAGGAGCTGAGGGAGGGGCCTTCCACAAGATTGCCATGCGGGCAAGCAATCAAGCGTATAAATCGTCACTGATCGACCGCATTCCATTCCACTCACACAAAGATCGAGCAGCAGCAAAGACAAGCAGCAGCGCAGTCTAGCTAGTCAACAGTGCGATCCAAGATAGGGAGCCAGGACGCGACGAGGCGGCCACTGATGGCGGCACCGGCGCCGAGGAGCGTGGGCGTGGCGGAGCGGGCGCTGCGCGGGGTGGCGGACCTGATCAAGCTGCTCCCGAGCGGCACGGTCTTCATGTTCCAGTTCCTCAGCCCGCTCGTCACCAACAGCGGCCACTGCGCCGCCTACAACAAGGTGCTCTCCGGGGCGCTCCTCGCGCTCTGCGGCGCCTTCTGCGCCTTCTCCTCCTTCACCGACAGCTACGTAGGCTCCGACGGCAGGGTCTACTACGGCGTCGTCACGCGCCGCGGGATGCGCACCTTCTCCGCCGACCCGGACGCCGGCGCCGCCAGGGACCTGTCCGGGTACCGCCTCCGCGCCGGCGACTTCGTGCACGCCGCGCTCTCGCTCATCGTGTTCGCCACCCTCGCGCTGCTGGACAGGGACACCGTGTCCTGCCTCTACCCGGCGTTGGAGGCCGGCGAGAGGACCATGATGGCCGTGCTTCCGCCGGTCGTCGGCGGCGTCGCCAGCTACGCCTTCATGATGTTCCCCAACAACCGCCACGGCATCGGCTACCAGCCCACGCGCGCGACCGAGGACTTCGAGCACAAGCACTAGCTTTGCTTGCTACTCCTTCCGAGCTAATTCATGGCGTCAATTTCTTCGCAGTGTTTGCATGATAAACTTGGTCGTCTGGGTGCAAAGACTAAAGTCAAAGTGTGGTGGTGGTGTGACCTGTGATGTTTGAGTGACGTGTCGTCGCCTTGTAGTTCTTGATTTGTCAAAGCTTGTACTGATACTGTATTACTGCGAAGCATGTGCCTGGGTGACTGGTTCATTTCATGATTAATTTGTCAAAAATGTTCGTGCCATCGTCAAGACCCAAGAGTCGTATACTGTTATTTTTCTTTTCATTTTTCCCTTTTTATGTTGCTGAAATCAGTAACCAAGGTAAAAGCTCCGCAATCATCAACGGGCTGCTCCTCTATTTTTCTGGAAACAGGGGCAAAAGATTTGCCTCATCGATTAATTAAGAAGAAGAGAATTGCCCAGTTAATCAACGGAAAACTGGGCCGAACCGATACAAACCAACCACATGTGTACCACTCACAGAGCATGCAACCTCATAATTAAACACACGATCAACCCAACAGCCATACCCAACACGCACCAACCACCAGCGAGAGTACCAAGCACAACCCAAAAAACTGATGATCATTCATCAAGCAGTTGTGGACGCCTTTTCTGTGGAGCCACTCTTCTTTAGAGACACCTACTTCTTCGTCTGCCATTTTTAGGCCAGCGGGCCGTTTTGAGAAGACTAGGAGCAAGTATAATAAAATGACGTAAACGGGTTATAAGAGTTTAAATGGTGTGGTTAAATCTCAGTCGACTGACACTTAACCATGTCTTAGTCAAGTTACATAACATGTAAGAAAAAAGACATGGATCTCGATGTTAGATCTCACGAATATAGCATCGACTGAGACTTAACCAAGTCTCAGTCGACTAAGATGTAGCGAGATTGAAGTTTAAATATCATATTATTGTTGGATTGAAGAAGAGAGTGTTGACGTATAAATGTATAATCTACCTTTTTTCATCAACTTGAGTTTTTAGATGAACTAGCTGGTGCGTGCAGTTTTACACGGTATCCGATCTTGAGCTTTTAGATGAACTAACTAGTGCATGCAGTTCTACGGAGAGAAAAGAACCAGCCTTATAGATTGTTAAGGGCACTCCCAATTCTAAACATAACATTTGCTATGGAATTTGAATAAGTGGTGGAGCATGTTTGTGTGGCACACGTCACAACAAGTAGTCAAACTGCCATTCGGTGATGGGAGCAGAAAGGCAACAGCTCTTCCCCATATTTGAGATAGATATAAGGGCTCGCGAACGCGCTCGGGCGCGTCTGGTCAGTTTGCCACATAGGACGTGTCCCCATCTCGGACCACCTTTTCTTTTTTTTTATTTCTTTTTTTCTTTCTCTCTTCATCTCCACCAACCACATACATGTGACTAAACAAATGAGGAAAAAATGAGGCGTGTAGCTGTGCAGACGGATAAATAGGGGCTCAAAATGAACACACCCGATCACTGACCAATCGTGTCCGTGGACGTTTGAAGGATCGAATTAGAGGTACATGCCTGAAGATGCTCTTAATCACCAAGAAATTGTCTGCAGCGCCATCGCTCAACTGAAAAAATCATTCCCCTCGCGTCCACATGGCTCATGGCAGCCCGGTTCATGAGAAGGCACGAAAAAAGGTCCGTGGAGCAGCGGCCCTTTAGACGTTGGTCTGGCCGGCTTGCAAGAGCGGACCTGGCGAATTAGACCCATGGTAATGCCGCACATCATGCACTCATCCGGTGCGTTTGTACGCTGAATCAGACGGTTTAGGAGCCAAATTGATGTGAGGAGGCATGACTAGCTCAGTTTTACTTTTTAGTAATTGTATCATATTTATTTAGACATAAGCTATTCAGCATTGTACCTTATTGTTGTACTTCCTAAAAGTGTTCCTATTTAGCGTGTTCTGTGAGAGAAAATGTATGAATTGTCTTGGTTTTATGCTAAGAACTATACCTAGATTAAGATGTGATAACTATGCCCGAGCACCGTTAAATCTATAAAGCTTTGCTCTGCCTTCAAAAAAAAGATTAAGATGTGATAACTCATCCTTTCTTCACTAAATAAGGTGTCACATCAAATTTTTATTTAGATGGCACAGTTAAGAAATAGTAGCTCTTGGGGCGAGTTCCACAAACGAGCTCAAGGCACAACCACACAAATCGGAAGCTCCCGGAAAATACCACTGTCTAGGGTTTCCCATAAATCCAAGAGTAACAAGATGTGCTAGGATCTCGTGGCGAATCGACAAACTCGAGTTTTGCTTTGGTGGATTTGTATATCAGATGTTTCTCTTGCTCTCTCTAAAATATGGGAAGGGTTTGAGTGGCTAGAGAGGGATGAAACGGAGATGTGAGCAGATCAATGGAGGAAAGAGAGTGGGAGCCGCCACCCTCGTTTGAAGAAGGGTGGCTTATATATGTCCACTAGAACATGATGGCGCGCTTTGCCGCGCCCGCCCAACATTGTAAATAATTAAATTATTTAGAAATAAACCGGATGGAGAACAATCATCTTAGAGATATAGGGGATACATGTTTCCAAGATAGCAGTTTGAATTCGAGTTCTTACAAGCAAGCAATGGTTGTTAACAGTGCACCTCACTCGTGCAGTAAGACCATGACAAATCACAATACCAAAGGCGACACAGATGGACAATTAAGCTGAATTCTATTAAGCAGAATGTTGATATTTGGGCCGCCAGCTAGTAAACAAAATAGATCAACTAAAAACAAATTTTGAGTTAATTGGCGCCTCATATAAGCACAACATTAATCCTCACACTGCATCAGCCACACAATGGAAGTCAGGTCCGAATGTCGTGATATGGATTTATTCTGCCGTTGTAACCCTAATTTGAGCATAGAGAGGATCTCAACACCTGGAGAGGTAAAGGTAAGATTAGGTACAGATGTGGAATCATGGACAACTCGTTCAGCTCAAAATTACAACCTCTCATAAAATCACGAGGCATACTTATCTAGCATATTATTTCATCAAATAACTAAACAAAACCAAAACCTAGCACTGTTAGGGAACGTAGTAATTTAAAAAAAAAATCCTACGCACACGCAAGATCATGGTGATGGCATAGCAACGAGAGGGGAGAGTGTAGTCCACGTACCCTCGTAGACCGTAAGCGGAAGCATTATGACAACGCGGTTGATGTAGTCGTACGTCTTCACGATTCGACCGATCCAAGCACCGAACGTACGGCACCTCCGAGTTCAGCACACGTTCAGCTCGATGACGATCCCCGGGCTCCGATCCAGCAAAGCTTCGGGGATGAGTTCCGTCAGCACGATGGCGTGGTGACGATGATGATGCTCTACCGGCGTAGGGCTTCGCCTAAACTCCGCGACGATATGACCGAGGTGGAATATGGTGGAGGGGGGCACCGCACACAGCTAAGAAACGATCCGTAGATCAACTTGTGTGTCTATGGGGTGCCCCCCTGCCCCCGTATATAAAGGAGCAAGGGGGGGAGGCCGGCCGGCCCCTTGGGCGCGCCAAGGGAGGAGGAATCCTCCTCCTAGTAGGAGTAGGACTCCTCCTTTCCTACTCCTACTAGGAGGGGGAAGGAAGGGGGAGAGGGGGAAGGAAAGGGGGGGCGCCGCCCCCCCTCCTAGTCCAATTCGGACCAAAGGGGGGAGGGGGCGCGCGGCCCATGCTGGCCGCCCCTCTCTCCTTTCCCCTAAGGCCCATAAGGCCCAATACTCTCCCGGGGGGTTCCGGTAACCCCCCCGGCACTCCGGTTTTCTCCGAAATCACCCGGAACACTTCCGGTGTCCGAATATAGTCGTCCAATATATCAATCTTTATGTCTCGACCATTTCGAGACTCCTCGTCATGCCCGTGATCACATCCGGGACTCCGAACAAACTTCGGTACATCAAAACTTATAAACTCATAATAAAATTGTCATCGTAACGTTAAGCGTGCGGACCCTACGGGTTCGAGAACTATGTAGACATGACCTAGAACCATTCTCGGTCAATAACCAATAGCGGGACCTGGATGCCCATATTGGTTCCTACATATTTAACGAAGATTTTTATCGGTCAAACCGCATAACAACATACGTTGTTCCCTTTGTCATCGGTATGTTACTTACCCGAGATTTGATCGTCGGTATCCAATACCTAGTTCAATCTCGTTACCGGCAAGTCTCTTTACTCGTTCTGTAACACATCATCTTATAACTAACTCATTAGTTACAATGCTTGCAAGGCTTAGGTGATGAGTATTACCGAGAGGGCCCAGAGATACCTCTCCGACAATCGGAGTGACAAAACCTAATCTCGAATTATGCCAACTCAACATGTACCTTCGGAAACACCTGTAGAGCACCTTTATAATCACCCAGTTACGTTGTGACGTTTGGTAGCACACAAAGTGTTCTTCCGGTAGACGGGAGTTGCACAATCTCATAGTTGCAGGAACTTTGTATAAGTCATGAAGAAAGTAATAGCAATATACTAAACGATCAAGTGCTAGGCTAACGGAATGGGTCATGTCAATCACATCATTATCCTAATGATGTGATCCCATTAATCAAATGACAACACATGTCTATGGTTAGGAAACATAACCATCTTTGATTAATGAGCTAGTCAAGTAGAGGCATACTAGTGACCTTATGTTTGTCTATGTATTCAGACATGTATCATGTTTCCGGTTAATACAATTCTAGCATGAATAATAAACATTTATCATGATATGAGGAAATAAATAATAACTTTATTATTGCCTCTAGGGCATATTTCCTTCAGTCTCCCACTTGCACTAGAGTCAATAATCTAGATTACATAGTAATGATTCTAACACCCATGGAGTCTTGGTGTTGATCATGTTTTGCTCGTGAGAGAGGCTTAGTCAACGGCTCTGCAACATTCAGATCCGTATGTATCTTGCAAATCTCTATGTCTCCCACTTGGACTTGGTCCCGAATGGAATTGAAGCGTCTCTTGATGTGCTTGGTCCT